AATTAGAATTTAAACATCACTTTATGTCGTAGGACTGATGGTATTTTGATGGTAAACAATACAAGGTTATTGGTGAAATATATTGCAGTACAGGAGCATTCATTATCTTCAACATGGCCAGATTACAGTGGGGATGTTTGAGATGGCCAGACTAGAGTATATTTAACCAACCCGGAATTGAGATAGACAGACTAGAGTATATTTAACCAACCCGGAATGGAGATGGCTAACCTAGAGTATATTTAACCAACCCGGAATGGGCCAGCCTAGAGTATATTTAACCAACCCGGAATTAAGATGGACAGACTAGAGTATATTTAACCAACCTGGAATTGAGATAGACAGACTAGAGTATATTTAACCAACCCGGAATTGAGATGGCCAACCTAGAGTATATTTAACCAACCCGGAATGGAGATGGCCAACCTAGAGTATATTTAACCAACCCGGAATGGAGATGGCCAACCTAGAGTATATTTAACCAACCTGGAATTGAGATAGACAGACTAGAGTATATTTAACCAACCCGGAATGGAGATGGCTAACCTAGAGTATATTTAACCAACCCGGAATGGGCCAGCCTAGAGTATATTTAACCAACCCGGAATTAAGATGGACAGACTAGAGTATATTTAACCAACCTGGAATTGAGATAGACAGACTAGAGTATATTTAACCAACCCGGAATTGAGATGGCCAACCTAGAGTATATTTAACCAACCCGGAATGGAGATGGCCAACCTAGAGTATATTTAACCAACCCGGAATGGAGATGGCCAACCTAGAGTATATTTAACCAACCTGGAATTGAGATAGACAGACTAGAGTATATTTAACCAACCCGGAATTGAGATGGCCAACCTAGAGTATATTTAACCAACCTGGAATGGAGATGGCCCTATTAGAGTATATTTAACCAACCTGGAATGGAGATGGCCAACCTACAGTATATTTAACCAACCTAAAATTGAGATGGACAGACTAGAGTATATTTAACCAACCCGAAATTGAGATGGCCAACCTAGAGTATATTTAACCAACCTAAAATTGAGATGGCCAACCTAGAGTATATTTAACCAACCTGGAATTGAGATGGACAGACTAGAGTATATTTAACCAACCTGGAATTGAGATGGACAGACTAGAGTATATTTAACCAACCTGGAATTGAGATGGCCAGACTAGAGTATATTTAACCAACCCGGAATGGAGAAATCAGATTTTTATTGCACGACCATTTAACTAAAACTTCGGTATAAAAAATAATTTATCATCGTTTGTAAATGACAATTAGGGGAACCCTAAAAACACCAGGGCCTCTGGCTTCCACCTTAATTGCCCTCTACCAATATTGTTTAATTTAAGTATGATCGAACAATAAACTGATTGACGTTTATGTTCTCGGTTAATTTTTTTACAGTATACATATATTAACTTTTAATATTTTTTAATTAAACAATCACGGATTCATTCATTTCACAATTTAATTTTCTCTATGTCTTGCCACAGATGTTAATTAACATCAATATCTGTCCGGTTATAAAACGTGACCCTACCTGGTTGGCACTCTATAGGGCGTTGGTAAAGATCTATGTATCGTGTATGTATGTTTGTTTTACATTAATGTTGGTAAATATAAAGATCTATGTAACGTGTATGTAGGTTTGTTTTACAGCAGTGTTGGTAAATATAAAGATCTATGTAACGTGTTTGTAGGTTTGTTTTACAGTAACCATTTTGATTCTAGAAACAATTTAAATAACTCATTTACCCATTAATTTTTGTGTAAAACCTTGTCATAAAACATTATAAAATTATATGTTACATATTCATTATAGAGTCCTTTCATATGACGTCACGTCCGGTCGTGATACCTACGTCCGCCGCCACGCTGGTGTACACCAGACGTAAACACAATCAGCTGTTCACCCGCGCTGGCCGCGTTCACTGTATGTAAAGAACCGCACCCGCGGAAAAGGAAAAATACGTTAAAAAACTTGAACTATTAGGAATTGAAGATCCTTATACTGTTATTGACAGTTTCGTGGATAATATAAATATGTGGCCAACATTTCTAAATAAAAATACTGTTAGTAATACTGTTTGCGTTTAGAGTTTAAGTAGACGAATTTGATCAAATGCAGTTCTCGATACTTTGTTTCAGGTAAGGACAGTAAAATAATAAACTTCATTTTAATTCTAAAAGATAATTATTAATAAAACAAATATGCTCGACCTTCACAAATACTAATAGTAAAAGACAAAGTCAAAAGTAATAATAAGAATAATAAGATCTAATAGTAGGCCTAATAATAGTGTTTTAATATCTAGATCTAGAATATAGCTCTAAAAATGGCGTAAACAAAATTCGGACCACATATCTAGATTCTGGATTTAGGGTGACTGGCTCCGCTGACATAGAATCTAGAATCTACTTCTTTACTTAAATTTAATTACAAAATTTAGATCTACATTGGATTCAAAATACACCCATAATAAATCAAAAGTAGTCACAGTAGGCCTAATTAAGCATGCAATTGTCTCT